CACTGTGGCTGCCCGGATGTAGTACCTGGACATTTCCCCAGCCACCCATGCCAGGGTCCCCCATTTCCCCCAGTGCAGGAGCTCTGTGCATCCACCCTGTTCCTCCCCTCCCCCCCATCCCCTCATTTCCCCTCCCACCTGTGCCACGGTGGGCTGGTTCGGGGAGTCTCTCTGCACAGTGCTGCGTTTGCTGGAGCAGGGAGAAGATCCATCTGGCCTCTGTCTGAAGGGAGGGGTCTGGGGGAGCAGCGGGATGTCACCAACATATGGTGAAGAGATGGAATCAAAGCAAATGATTCCAACAGGACTCATGGGGGAAGACTTGCGAGAGCCGCCGGGAACAGGCAGTGCTGGGCAGGAGAGACCAAGGGCACGGCCCAGCCCAGGGCACGGCAGGCCAGCTGGCATAGGTGTGCGCAGCACATTTCATTAGGGTGTGCACCCAGGGAACCCCACCCTAGCCCCGCCCCCATCCACTCCCTCCCACTTCCTGCCCCCCTCAGAAACCCCTCCCCCCGCTCCTTGTCCCCTGACTGCCCCCTCCTGGGACCCTGCCCCTAACTGCCCCCCAGGACTCCACCCCCTACCTAAACCTCCCTGCTCCTTGCCTCCTGACTGCCCCCTCCTGAGACGACCCCCCCCCACTGTAACTGCCTCCCTAGGATCCTACCCACTACCTATCCCCTGACTGCCCCAACCCTTATCCACACCCCTGCCCCCAGACTGACCCCAGGGACTCCCATGCCTATCCAACCGCTCCCTGCCCCCTGACAGGACCCCCAGAACTCCCGACCCATCCAACTCCCCCTACTCCCTGCCTACCCCAACCCCTCTCCACACCCCCGCCTCGACAGGCCCCCCCCCAGAACTCCTGATCCATCCAACTACCCTGCTCCCTGTCCCCTGACTGCCCCAAACCCTCTCCACACCCCTGCCGCCCCGACAGGTCCCCCCCAAACCCACAACTCCAACACCCCCAGCTCCTTGTCTCCTGACCGCCCCCTCCAGAGACCCCCACCAACCCCCTAATCACCCCCCAGGACCCTACCAACTATCTAGCCCCCCATCTCTTGACTGCCTCAACCCCTAGCCACACACCCACCCCCTGACAGACCCCCGGGACTCCCACACCTATCCAACCACTCCCTGCCCCCTGACAGGACCCCCAGAACTCCCGACCCATCCAACCCCCCTGTCCCCTGACCGCCCCAACCCCTAGCCACACACCCATCCCCTGACAGGCCTCCTGGGACTTCCACACCCTATCCAACCCCCCACATTCCCTATCCCCTGAGACCCTCTGGCCCATATCCCGGCCCCCTTACCACGCCACCGCTCAGAACAGAGTCCCCACCAAATACCACCCCCTGGACATCCCCTTGACCAATGACGTGATGGCACTTATGGGGCAGGCGCAGAGTGCGCCAACCAAGCTGGAGCGCAATGGTGGAAGAGCGGTATGACCAACATAAGTCAACAAAGGTCACGTGTAGCGCTGGGGAGGCGGTGATTGGCTGGGCAGGCCCGGGCACAAAGTGGGGGGGGTCACAGTAGCAGTGTGGGGTTCACAGTGTGACAATTACAACAGCTTTGTGCAGCTGCTGGGGAAGTTTGTACAGGCAATAAATACACCCTGCGTGGGTGGGCGGGGAAGAGACCCTGTCACCCCTACTCATAGGTGCTGACTTTTGGTTTTGCTGGTGGGTGCCCCATCCCCTTATCCAAGGCTCCGCCCCCTCTCCACCTTTTCCTGCCCCATTCCCCTACACCCCCCTGAACACCTTCTTGCCAACTCCCTCTCCTAAATGCCTACTACCAGCTGCTCACTCTTTTCTGCCCCCTCCTGTCTTAAGGGCAAGGTGTGGGTGCTGTAGCAGTACTCTGCCAGTTTTGAGGGGAGGCTATTTTCAACATATTTATACACTTTCAGTCTAGTTATTGAAAGTGTGTCTATCATTGGTATCTCCCCTTCCTGATGTTTCCTAGTTCTTGCTCTCCACCTGTGTCCCTTTCCCCATCTCTCTCTGCTCCCCACTTCCTGGTGGCTCTGTTTAACACCCGCTCCCACCCATGCACTCAAAGCAGCTCTGTCTCCCCTGAATCTCACCCCCTGCCACCAGCCTAGAAACTACACGCCCTGACACAGAGAGTCATTTAATTCAACAGCCCAGCATAGAAGTGGGCCATTCATTCATCCTGCTGTGTGGCTGCTGTGTCGCTCCAGCTCTTCCCAATCTCAGGGCTGCAGCCCATCCCCCGCTTTGACTCCTTCACACACTCCACAACTTTTGTGGGAGGGGATCCCCTGGTGGGAAGGCAGGGGAGTGGGGGCCAGTTGCTTCCTCCTCTGGGCTGCAGGAGCCCAGCACCCTAAAGCAAGAGGAGCTCAGGTGTCCCAAGGTGACACAGGGCAGCGTCTCCTAACTTGAAGCTGATACAGGGGGGTGGATGCAAGGGAAGGAATTCCCCGGGAGCTTGGGGGGGGGGTGGAGGGGAGAAGGGGGATCCAGGCACATCAATTCTTCCTTACACTGGGAGAAGGGGATGCTGATCAGCGGGGGCGGGGATAAGCTTCCTCTCTTGGAGGAAAAGCCCCTCAGGCAGGCTTGATCTGGGCCTGGGGGAAGGGGAGACAGCTTTGAGCTGGGCAAGCATTACTTTCCCAGGCATGAAAGAACCATAGGATTTGGGAGCTCCCAGAACCTGTGTGGGAGAGGTTTAGGCACAGGCAGCATCCGGGCTTGGGGAGACTGCTCATTTGCACCTGAGGCTGCAGTGAAGCCCCTCTGGATGGGTGAAGAAGGGGGAGGGGATAAACTGCTGGCCCCAGCCCAATTTTACTCATCAGACACAAGGGAAAACTTTTCTTAAAGGAGCCATAACCTTTGGTTTGTCCCCCTGCCCAGCACTAAGGGGGTCTGCAGCTGGTTTCTCCTGGCTGAATGGGGAAAGCACAGATCCTGGGGGAAACACCAGGGTCGGCTGAGAACGGCTGGCTCAGTCCTTGAGAAAGCCCCCACTCCATACCCCCACCCCCGCAGCAGCCCCCTGGAACCAGCCGAGAAGCAGCCTGCCCGTCTCCCCCCAGCCCCCTGCCAAGAGGCTGCTCACCCCTCCGCAGCTAGCCCAAAAGCTGATGTGCCCTGGCTGCTGGTCCCCCCCTAACCCAGCTCCCTCTGCCCTGAAAATCAGAAAGACTCACATCTGCCTGCAGTCTCGGAGCTACAACAGCTGCAGGGGAAATAGCTGATAGGTGGGGACTTTGTGCCAAACAGCTGATTGGCTGCAGCCAGCCAAAGAGCTGATGAGGGCTGCTGTGCATGTTAAATAGTTGATTGGCAGTTCCCAACAGCTGATCTCCCCAGGGGAAGTGTGCGTGCGCTAAGCAGCCTCCTCCCCGCCCTCCCCAGATTGAGCTCAGGGCATTAGGGTGTGCCTGCCTATGCCAGCTGGGCGAGAGAAGGCCCCGTGTTTCATATCACAAGCCGTGCATGGTGGCCGATGGGCCCCAGGTGGCTCCAGATGGCTCCAGCCCTGAGCAGTGAGGAAACCGAGGCAGGGGAATGCGTGTCGGGTTGGGAGGGGTGGGTAGGTCTGTGTCAAATGTCTATGCAAAGCGTCTGTGTGTCTGTGCTGTACCTCCCAGGTGAGCCGGTGAAGAGGGACCCTCCAGGGCTCCCACCTTTGGGTGGAGCTCTGCCAGAGGGGTGTTAAGCTACAGGAGACTTTGAAGGGTCACACCTTGTTACAGGTGCTGGGCCGTGTGTCTAAGTTGCCAGGGCAGGTGCTAGGCACAGGGTCTGCACCCCTAGAGTGTGCCCGGGGACCTCAAGACAGTGTCCGGGCCTGGGCTCTGTTCAGACTCTGGGATCCAGGGGCTGGGTCCACTCACAGCAATCTGGGGAGTGGCCAAGAGGGGGCGCTCATCAGCCATGCACTGTCTGGCATTCCCCTAACGGAGCTGGGGCACTCACTGGAGTGGGGAAATGGAGAGAGCTTGAGTAGACCGGGCCAGAGCCCGGCTGGAGTGAACCGGCCCCACTCCCTTGGAATCAATGGGCCAGAGCCCAACTGGTGTGAATGGGCCCCACTCCCTTGGAATCAACGGGCCAGATCCCAGCTGGTGTGAACTGGCCCTGCTCCCTTTGGATCAATGGGCCAGATCCCAGCTGGTGTGAACCGGCCCCGCTCCCAATGGGCCAGAGCCCAGCTGTCTCATTTTGTTGCATTGTGTTGGCACAGACAGAGAAATTCACTCTCGCTGAAGTACAGATGGACATGTTCTGCATCCTCCCGCATCCTCTGATAGTGCCGTTTCTGGTTAGCCCTACAGGGTTGGAGAGAGCCGGACATATGGACAGAGACAAGGGCGACAGGCAGATAGATAGAGACGTGAGGCCCCGGGAAGCTCTGAAGCTTTATTGGCCTTGCTCATATGGCAGAGAATCAGCAACTTCACCCCGTCACCTCCAGCGTGAGACAAACCAGCCCCACCCGGATGGGGACAATGCTCCAGCCTGGAGTCTGCCCAGCCCTCGCCACCTCCCATCCCCCACCCCCGTCTGGCCCAACCTCATGTTCCATCTCGCATTTCCCCCTCCTCCCACCACGTCCCATCCCCGTCTGTCCCATGCTCTCCATGTCCCATCCCCCCTCTGACCCTCCCCCCACCACATCCCATTCCCTTCTGTCCCATGCTCTCCATGTCCCATCCCCCCTCTGCCCTGTCCCTCGCCACATCCCATCCCCCCTCTGACCCTCCCCACACCACATCCCATCCCCACTCTGCTCTGCCCTGCCCCTCGCCACATCCCATCCCCCCTCTGACCCTCCCCACACCACATCCCATCCCCACTCTGCCCTGCCCCTCGCCACATCCCATCCCCCCTCTGACCCAGCCCTCCACCATCTCCCATCCCCCATCTGGCCCACCCCTCGCCATATCCCATCCCCGGTTTGACACCCCCACCCCTTCCTATCATGCCCCCCATCTGCCCCGTCCACTGACACGTCCCATCTGTGGCCCCCTTGTTTGGACTCAGAGCTCCACGCTGGAATTGCACACACATGACACAGATAGAGCTGCAGCACCACACAGAGCAAGAGAGATTGCCGGGCAAATCCAGGACTGCCGTAGTAGAGTTGTGGGCACCCTAGAAATGAGAGCAAGGGGGAGGGATTGCAGCCCCCCTTGGTATCTATGGCGATGGCTAGATAGGGGGCGTGACAGAGAGGCGGGTGTGTTAGCCAGAGAGACAGAGGGGCGTGTTAGGGATACGGATTGACTAGTGGGTTGACTTGTTGTATCCCAGCCAGCCAACTCATCCCCACTGGGATCCCGTCACCCGTGGGCTCTCTGTGGCACCTCCCCCATCTCCGGCACCCCCTCGAGGCAGGGGTTTTGGCTGAGGCTCTTCTCCTCACAGCTGGCGCAGCGGTTGTTATCACACTTGTACATTGGGGCGTTTTGGATGGTTTGCCAGGCTTCCCACAATGCTTTCCGCTTCTGGGCCTTGTCTGGTGGGTAGACCTGCCGGAAGGCCAATGCCCGGAAGTTGTTGTTGATGGCGCCGAAGACCCCGTCCATGAGGTTCCGGATGTAGAAGCGGCTTGAGTCGTTAAGGCAGGTGCCCAGGCACGGCGAGTTCTTGGTGAAGAAGATGAGGCAGCGGTTCCAACCACAGGGTTGGCCTGGGGACCACTTCTTGTAGCAGTTGTTTCCACATTCCTTGCCTGGGACGTGGGATTCTGGGCAGGTCTTCTGGCCCCGGGTCTTGTCCAGGAGGCGGGAGACGGGGCTGACGCCGTTCTGGTCCGGGCTGAGGAGCAGGAACTCAGAGTGCAGGGTGGAGTTCTTCTTCTGGAACTTGGGCCGGGCGGCTGTGACGTTCTGGCCCTCGAACAGCTCCTTGCTGTTGAGTTTATCCTTCATCTTCTTCAGCTCCGTCTCATTCAGGTACTCCTTCAGTTGCTCCTTGTTGAGGCTATTACATGCTTCCAGGGGCAGGCTCACCGCAGCTGCGTATTGGCCGTCCTTGTCAGGGCGAAACCTTTGTGGGGGAAAGAGGAGAGAGTCTGGGTTACGGATTCATAGAGTTTAAAGCCAGAAGGGACTATTGTGACCATCTAGTCTAAGCTCCTGCATGGCCCAGGCCAGAGAGCCTCCCCCAGGGATCCCAGCCCATGACTCCTGTATGAGCTAGGGTGGATGTTTGAGAAAGAAACACCAGCCCTGGTTTAAAGACTCCACATGATGGAGAAGCCACCACATCCCTTCGTAAGTTGTTCTACCGGTTAGACATTGCGCCTTATTTCCCCCCTGAAATTGTCTCGCTTTAGCGTCCAGCCACTGGATCTCGTTCTGCCTCTGTCTGCGAGACCGAAGCGCCCTCTGCCATAGGCACCAACTCCATGGATGCTCTGGGGCTGGAGCTCCCACGGAAAAAAAATAGTGGGTGGTCAGCACCCATCAGCCACCCGCCAATCAGCTGTTCGGCGGTGGGTGAGAGGCACTCGGGGAGGGGGCGGAGCTGTGGTGGATAGAGGCGGAGCAAGTGTGGGGCCTTGGGGGAAGAGGCAGAATGGGGAAAATGAAAGTCGGCGTATGTGCCCTCTGCTGTCAGAAATCTCCTCCCCACGTAGATACGTATAGACCCTGCTCAAGTCACGTCTCTTGGCCGTCTCTGTGATAAGCCAAATAGACTGAGCTCCTTTAGTCCCTCTCTAGGCGATCCAGACCTCGGATCCACCTTTTCCAATCGCTTTCCAGTTCGTCAACATCCTTTTTGCAGCGTGGACACCAGAACTGGACGCAGTGTCCGTAAAGGTGTCAATAACATTGTATATAGAGGTGATGCCTCCTCTCTGCTACCCAATATTCCTGTTCATCCATCCAAGTGTTGCTTTCACCTTCTCAGCTCCAGCATTGCACTGGGAGCTCATGTTCTGTTGAAATCCACCATGACCCTGGGATGCTTTGCAGAGTTGCCGCTTTCCAGGAGACAAGCCCCATCCTGTGCCTCTGACTTGCGCTCTTTGCTCCTACATGTCTGACCCGGCACTGGGCTGTGTTAAAACACCCTCCCCTCTCTGGGTCTCGGTCTCTGACCCTCCACCTCCAGACACCCACACATTCCTTACGAGGGGGCAGTGGGTGGATGAGTAGTGAGAGAAAATGGGACTCAGAGTGGAGGGAATACAGCTTGGCCTACATAAGCAATGACATGGGCAACCCTCTAGAAAAAGGAAAGACACAAAGCCCTTGACACAGGAGAGAGTGGGGCGGATCCATGAAATAGAGGGGGAAGGGAGGTGGCACCCAGGCATCTGGTGGTGGGGGTGGAAGGGATGGAAGGAGATCAGGTGTGTGCAGTGAACTTGGCTGACACAGACTAGGAAGGCTGCAGCCCCTGTGTGCATGTGTGTTTGCATATATATATATATATGTTCTTGTCCCGATACTACATATATATATTTCCAGATCATTGATACAGATATTGAATAGTATCATGTCAAGAACACAGGCCTGGGGAGTCCCACTGGAACAGTCCCCATTCTCTGAGGATTCTCTCTTTGCAATGACGTGCTGACTATCAGTTAGCCAGTTTTTAATCCATTGAATGTGAGCTACATTGATTTTGTAGAGTGCTAATTTCTTTTATTAGAGTGTCCCATGAGTCAAAGCCTTTGCACAGGCAATGTCTAGAATGTCAGTGTGACAAGCGTGGGAATGTTGGTAATATTTTTATGATTCCGATGCATGCCTCAGTTTCTCTCTGCTTTGAATTGCTATGCATGCAGTGTAAAGGGTTAGAAAGCAGCTGGCTGAAACAGACCAATACCAGTGGAGGATCCAGAAAAACAGTGGGAACCCCAAGGACTGACCAATTGACACCTAACAATGGGAATCTCCGTCAGGCAGCACATGTGAACTCAGCAGGGCCCTGCCGATGGGCCAGGAGGTGACAGGAGGCTGCCCTTTGGAGAGACACAGCAGCTCTTGCCTGGGAATGACAGAGGCCTGGTAGATTGACCCCACTGAGTGATGTAGTTAAGCCAACCTATGCCCCGGTGTAGACAGCGTGAGGTCGGCGGAGGAAGTCTTCCATCGACCTCTCAGGTAGGTGGATTAATACAGTGATGAGAGACCCTCTCCTATCGGCGTAGGTAGCATCTACATTGTAGCACTGCAGTGGTGCCCCTGTAGTGTTTCAAGTGTAGACAAGCCCAGAGAGACGGGGCCCAAATGGATTCCACGGCAGCTTGGCCGGGTAGAGCACTGACGTCGGCCAGTGTGAACTGTGTTATAACCTTCACTTCTCTGTGCTCACCTACGGCCTGCCCAGTGCTGGGTTCCCGGTGACTGCTAGACCCGGCTCTGTGTTGCAGAGGCTGCCTGATGTCGATGCAAAGACTGGCTGAGATGCATGAGACCCTGAAGAGCATAAAAGTCTCTGTTTATGTGGTTTGGAGCTTTTCTGGCTTTTTGACTGATTTTAATAAAAATCTCCAAGGTTTTGTTTTGCCTCGAGGGTCCCTACAATATACTGAACTTCTTGGTTTTAGCTGTGTCTAGCCTGATTCTGGGACAAGAACCCTCTTACCGTCAGCCCATTCACCAACTGTTAATCAATTGGCAATCAATACAAGTATTACTAACCGTTAAAAAGGATCAGACAACAGGCTTAGCCTCTTATCTCATCCCAGAAGGCTAATGAGTTTGTTTCACAAGACCTATTTCCCATGAAGCCATACTGGCTGGTGCGAATTCCCTTTCCACCCTTTCATTCTTTATTCTTGATGCCCTGTATGAAGCATTCCCATGATTCTGCCAAAGGTCAATGTCAGAGGAAATGGGGAGACACACTGAATCTCTGACGTGGCGGAGGGGAGGGGGGATGAGAACCCTGATATCAAGGTGAGGGGACAATGGAAGCACATACAGATTTTGCCCAGGATTGATGTCAGGTACCAGGCTATACTTCCCCAGACCATCTCATTTATCCTTTGTAAATACAGGCACAACCTTAGCTCCCCTCCCCTGCATTCTCTGGAACTTCCCCAGGGTTCCAGGTTGTGTTAAAAATCTACATCAATTGCTGAGAGAGCTCTCGGCCAGTTCTTTTAAGACTCTTGGGTGCAAATTATCTGGTCCTGATTTATCCAAAGGGAGTGTACAGCAAGCACATGACTATTGCTGGTCAAAATATTTCAGACAGAACAGTTTTCCTTAGGCAAAGGATGATTCAAAAAAATCTAATGTTTTCAAGGGAATACATTGATTTTGTGTAATTTTTTGATGAAAAATTATCAGAACAATTTGTTTAGATTGAAACATTTGGCTATGACTTTATTTTTTTTATGTTTGTTATATTATGTTATATTACTGCTTATAATATACCAGTGAAAACATCTGGATTTTTATATTATATTATAAACATAAAAGTCAAGCTGCTAAAGCTGAAATGGAAATATTTTGAACTTATTGAAATGAAATAGTTAGATATGGTCAAACCAAAACCTGTTTTCAATTTTTCCAAAACAAAATTTGGAATTCCCGTTCTGTGGAATATTTCAACTTCTAGTTCTGATTCATAAGGAAAAAAAATAGAAATTTCAGAATTTCCGAGGGAGCTGGAATTCCGGTTTCTGACCAGCCCTTCACTTGAGTAAGGAGATCCGCATCTGCCCCCTGCCTCAGAATCACCTTCCCCAGCTCTGTGCCCTATCTCCCTCTGCACCCCAGAATCATCCCTCTCAGCTCTGCCATGGACTGAGCCATCTATGCCAGGTAGAAAGCCACTGAGGGCAAATGTGAAGCATCTTCCCCCCTTTTCCCTTCGCTTTCCCCCCAGGGAGGGCAGAGGGGTCACAGCCAGATGGGAAATGCCCCACTGGGGCTTCACTCACTTATCAACATGATCCACGATGTCTCTGAGCGCATCTGGGTTGATGCTCCTGGCGGTCTCTGGCCCGAAGCAGAGGAGAAGGGGCAGCAGCAGGAGTCCAGCCCTGGGCATCCGTCCCGGCACCTGCACAGGACCCCACAGCGTCAGCGCCTCCGAACCCTGGGCACAAACCCTGAGCCCCCCCGACCCACCTCTCCTAGCCCCTGTTGTGCTACCGACAGCAGATGTGGCAGAGAAGAATCTCCTGGAGCTTGATGGGGTAGGGGGGTAGGTGAATAGCAGAGGGGACCCACATGGAATTACTTGGGGCAGGGGGCAGGTGGGCAGAGGAGTCACCCCTGGGGCTCCATGGGCCAGGAGGTGGGGGGACAATGAAGACTCACAAGGGTTTCCGTGGGGCAGGAGAAGCAGGTGGGGGAACTCACCATGGTTTCCATGGGGCAGGAGCAGGAGGTGCAGTCACTCACTGATAGATGCTCACACCAGATGCCCAGTGATGGGCTTTCAGCTGAGTCCCTCCCAGCTCCTCTTTATACCGTTCGCCAGGCCCCTCCTCTGCCCCACTGACCCTGTGGGGCGGGGGGCGGAGCAGGATGGGGGCTGGGTGAGGCAGCCTGCAATTCCCAGCTGTGCCAACAGCAGCTGCTGGGCTGGGCCAGATGGGGGCGCTCCAGGGCCAGGGTGTCCGTGCTTTGCTGCAGAACTCGGCTCCTGCCCTGAACACGGACCCGGTTCCCGAGCTGGCCTGGCCGCGCCACAGGAGGCCCTGGGGAGAGACAGGACGCTGGGGCTGACGGCCAAGGCTTGGCATCATGTAGGCCACAGGCCTCGCCCTGTGGAACCACTATGACCCTCAGATCCTTTTCCGCAGTACTCCTTCCTAGGCAGTCATTTCCATTTTCTACATGTGCAGCTGATTGTTCCTTCCTAAGTGGAGTACTTTGCAAGGTGCAGGCAGGGGGTTCGGATGCGACTGGCAGTGAGGACAGGGCCAGAGCCTGATATCTGCGCCCCCGGAGTCAATCTAGAGCAGACTGCAGGGATGTGGGGTGGCCTAATGACAAGGGAGGGCACAAGACCTGGGCTCTGCTGCAGGTCCCTGCTTCAGTTCCCCCAACCGTACAATGGGGATAATGACCCTGACCTCTGCCATCCTAGGTCCCCTCTGCCCCTGGTGGGGGCTGCAGTCCCTTCCCCAGATTGGTCCGTGGGGGGTGGGGTGGACCCAGCTCAGGCACCCCCTGAGGCCAGGGAGCCCCACTGCTGGGGTCAGCGCTAAGCCCAGACACTCGCCCCGACCCTCCCCACTGCAATGCCCCTGCCAGTGCCCAACAGGCTGGGGGCAAAGGGGGAGCAGCCAGGCCTCGGGCCAGTGGAGTCACAGCCCCCTGGATGCTGGGGATGAGCGAATGTAGCCTTGGTCCCAGCTGCAGCCAGGTGAGGCCCGGCCTGGTTTGCTTTGGAGAACAGGGGCTGATCGATAGCAGGGAGTGGTCCGGCCGGATTCAGAGGGTCCAGTTTGGGAATAGAGATTTGGGAAGAGCCCTGTTCTGGTGGGCAGTGGGGAGGTTCGGGTCGAGAGGGGTCGGTTCATAGAAGGGTCTGATCCAGTTCGGGCTGGAATGGGACCTGGTCCAGTTTGGGGGTTTTGTTCTGGGGAGGGATGTGTTTCTGGTCCAGTTCGGTCTGGAGAGGGATGTGGGTCTGGTCTAGTCCCGGAGGGTCATTCTGGGCAGGGTTGTGGGGCAGGTCCAATCTGGAGGGTTGGCCAGGTCTTCTGGGGGCACAGCTGGTCCTGATCCTAGTCTCTGCGCCTCTCTGCTTGCAGGGGAGGCCAAGCAAGACTAGAGTGAATAACAACACTGTAAATAAACCGTATTACAAATTTTCATGTTTTTTTATTTTTAAAATGTTTTAAACAGTTTTAAATCTGCCCCAATTTCATGCCAAACTGTAATTCAAGCCCTGGTAGTTCATATGAGTGATGGGAAGGGTGAGCGAGCGGCAGGTTCCCATTGAGTGGAAGCAGCACATGACTGGGGTTTGGCCGCTTTGGCTTTTGTTCGCTGGTTTTACCCACCGTGTTCGATTTTGTATTTTTTCCTTTATAAAGCATTTGATGTACACTGGTGTGTGTTATTTTTGCCCTAGGGCTGCCCTTGCTGGTACCCTACAGGTACACCTCCTTCTGTGGCTTAAACTTGTAAGTACTGTAAATAAAACCTGTGCAGCTGTGTGCTGTGTCAAAGACAACGTCTGTGTCGCTCTCCTGGCTTTTACAAGCTTTCCCCATGGAGGCCCACAAATAAATTTGGCGCCAGGCCCACAAAAGGTTAATCTGGCCCTAGCCAAGGGCAGAGAGGTCACTTTCCCCCCAGAGAAAGGGTGAGGGGCTCGGGAGGGAGGCCCTCGCCAGCTCCCCACTCCCTGCCAGAGATGAGGCTGCCAGAGGCTGCTCCTTGGAGGCTGGAGGCTGGCGGCCCTGCAGTTCTTGCGCCACCATCACGGCCGCAAGGGCCATTTATTTCTCAAGCCACGGTTGTGCCCGCGGGGAAAGCCCAGCCAGGGCTGAGGCCATGGATAGGTGTGAGGTTCAGTAGCAAGGGCTCCTGTCCTGGCCACACAGTTCTTGCGCCACCATCACCACCGCAAGGGGCCGTTTATTTCCCAAGCCGCGTTTGCGACAGTGGGGAAGCTTGGACAGTGGGGACGCCCTGTACCTAGCACGGTGCGGGGGGGGGGGGAGGGGTTTCGCCCAGCCAGGCTGGGCCATGAACTCCTTTTTCACGGCAAGCACCCCACAGGGACAGGCCCCAGCCCTGCCCCTGAGTGACACGACCTGCCCTGCCCCATTGTTCCCAGTGCGGGCCCGGCTCCCACATGCAGCCTCCCTGGGGCGGGGGCACCGGTTGGGCGCAGATGGGACACGCAGCCCGATGGCTCCCCAATTGTTAGGGGCTTAGTGTTTCCCTCCCAAGACCTGACCCCACATGGCCTCCCCTTGGCTGCACATCCAGCCTGTCCCCACGAAGCCGTCGCTGGCAGGGACGGCACTGGGAGCTCCTGGAGAGCAGGGGGCTGGTGGGGAGCCCAGCCAGCGTCCTGCTCTCAGTGCGGGGTCCACAGCCAGGACAAGGCTGGGTGTGTCCAGCTGGACTCCTGCGTCCCAGGCCTGCACCTTCTGCATCCAGCCCAGGCCTTGGGCACAGCTGGAGCGAGAGCAACATGGAGCCCCAGCAACAGGGAATCGCCCCATCCCTCCGGGGAGCCACCCCAGCCCAATTCCCCCCACTGGCCCCTGGAAACCTGGCTCCCCAAGGACTTGAGCGCCCTGAAGCCCTGGCTAGTGGCTGTGGCCCTGCTCCGGCTGGGCGAAGGGACCCTCGGGGGTCACGGCTCCCTTCCTGGGGAGTGGCGTCCAGGCCCGAAGCCAGGCTGGGGGTCTGAAGGGAAGAGTAAGCAACACCTACAAAGCCTGCTCTGCTTTGTGCCCCCAGTTCTCCCTCGCACCCCCTGCCCTCCCACAACCCGCCAGAGATACCTTCTCCGCATCCCCCCCGGAGACGCCCTCTCCGAGCTGCTATACCCCCTCCTGCCCACTGGGGATCCCCGCTCCATCCTGCTCCCTCCTTCTAACCCAGATCCCAGCCGCATTCTCCTGGGGGTCACAGCTGAGGCCAGGGGCAGGAAGGTCCCTTCACCCCCAGAGGAAGGGTGAGGGGCTCAGGAGGGAGGCCCTCACCTGCTCCCCACTCCCTGCTGCAGATGAGGCTGCCAGCAGCTGCTCCCTCGAGGTCTGGAGACTACCGGCCCCGTGGCTCTTCCACCACCATCATGGTCACAAAGGCTGTTTATTTCTCAAGCCGCGGTTGCACCAGTGGGGGAAACTCTGCTGGGGCTGTTGGCAGCTCAGTGCGTGGGAGGGAAAGTTCCTCTCAGCCAGGCTGGGCTATGAACCCCCTTCCCAGGATGAGTGCCCGCAGGGCCCAGGCACCAGCACAGCCACCAAGGGGCATGACCTGCCCTGCCCCATTGTCACCGGGGGCACCACTTGGGCACAGATGGGGTGCACAGACTGACTCCCCAGATATATTAGACATTCAGTGGGTCCTTCCCAAGCCCTAACCACTGTGTGACCCCAAACACCTCCCCCCCCAGCTGTGCCTTCAGTCCCGTGGTATGGGGCCATCGCTCGCTGGAGAGCACCAGGAACCCCCGAAGGACAGGGGGCTGTCTGGCAGCCGGCCCCAGCTGTGATCCAGGCTGGCCCTTCCTATGCTCTTACCCCTCCCCGCACTTACCACCTGCCTCGCATTAACCCTGCATTAGAACAATATTGTGCCTGCTTGGGGCTCGATCCCTGCATGCCGAGCCCTCTTGGCCAGCCGGGCACTGGAGAGAAGCAGCTTAGTCATAGCGTAGGCCATCCCGTTGTGCCCCCTTAAGGTCAGGTGTGGCACCGTGGGTGAGGCGTGCCTCAGTTTCCCCTCACCTGGGAAGCAGACTTTCAGGTACCAAACAGCGACCCCTTTGGAGGGGACCAACGCAAGCCAAACCTTCATGCCAATGACCCCAGGAGGCTGTAGGGGGTGGAGATGCTGCTGGCGTGGGGCTCTCGGTTACATTTCTGTCCCTGACCCACCCTAAGCCCCCTTCAGTCCTGGATCCTGGCGATGATAAACACCGGCTGGTTTGGCAAAGGCTGTGTGATGTTTCTGCCGGTCCCTGTGGGGCGCCGGTGTACTTTCGAGAGGGAAAATCTGCCCCTGCTGAGCATCAGAGTGGAACCCACACATATGTGCCAGGTTCTAGTCTACAACCCTGCCCTCCTGAGTGTGCGCCTGGTTCCTACCTAAACCCCCAAACGTTGTGTGCATGTGGCTCCTACCTAGAATTTCTGCCCCATCTGGAGTGTGAGTCTGGTTCAAATCTAGAACCTGCACCCTGTCCTGACTCTGCTCCAGTCTAGAACCCCCCCTCCCTTCTTAGCCACTTCTGTGCTTCTGTCTAGAACCTCTGCCCCTTCCCAGAGCAAGTGTTAAACTCCAGCCTAGAACCCCCACCCCACCCCGAGCACACTCTAAGCTCCCCGCTAGAAGCTCCCCTCACCCCAGCGTGACCTTGGCATGAGGATTCCCAGCTGGAGCAGCTCCACTGATGTCAGGGCCGATTGGCACCCGATGGGACCTGCCTGACGTCCCATTTCATTGCACAGTGCGGCTGGCACAGACAGCCGCAATCCAATCTCGCTGAGCGACAGATGGGCACGTTCGGCCTCCTGCCCCATCCCCAGCTGTCTGTGTCTGGCCCAACAGGGTGGAAGAGAGCCAGACACACGGACAGAGACACAGGCCTGTGATGGGTTATCCTGGGGTGCAACCTGGAACTGGGGTACTGCTGAGCCTTCTGGGCCACCAAAAAACCATATGTCTGAAGAGCCAAGCATTTAAGGCTAAAGATGATTGTGCATCTAAAAATCTATGCAAGGATTTTTTAGAGATGTGATTTTATAATCTTCACCAACTCACTAATGAAATATTTTTAAAGCAAATTTTAAACTAAGGTCCTGTAGACTGACATGTTCTCAGTAAATATTACAGTCATGCACAACTGTTTTTGTCAGTACATTCAGAAACTGACAGTAGATACCTGGGGGTTGGCAAATGCCTGTTAAATGCCTTCATTACCCCTTGAATGGCTCTTTAACAGTTTCAGTGTTGTGCTAATAGCTCTGGCAGGCTGGAGACTTTTTCTCTTTTAACTACTAGATCCCCTTCCCAGGGCACGTCTTCACTGCCTACCGGATCGGCGGGTAGCAATCGATCTATTGGGGATTGACTTATTGTGTCTAGTGAAGACGCGATAAAATCGATCCCTGATTGCTCTGCCGTCGACTCCGGAAATCCACCGCGGCAAGAGGCGGAAGCGGAGTCGACGGCGCCGCCGTCCTCACAGCCAGGTAAGTCGACCTAAAATACACAACTTCAGCTATGCTATTCACGTAGCTGAAGTTGCGTGTCTTAGGTCGACCTCCCCCCCTTCTCCCCCCCCCCCCCGCTTCCTCGTGTAGATCTAGCCTCAGAGCCTGCAGGAAGGGGCAGAACAGGGATAGGAAAACCAGTAGGGTGAAAACTAAGACCCAGTGGTGCCCCGAATTTTCAGGTGCCCTATGCATCTGCCTATGCCTGAGGACAGTCCTGGGCGCCCCCAGTTCGCCACTGGCTAGTTTGCCTAGTGGTTGCACCGGCCCTGGTCGTGGGGCATCTGTCACAGGGCCCAGCCAGTGCCTTCCCCGGCCATCCAGCAGAGCTGCTGTGAGAGGATTTACGGCTCTGTGCGTCACACCCCAGACCTCCTGGAGCCTGACCGGAAGCCAGACACTGCCCCAGCCTCGGGATCCAGACACCTCTCGGGGTGCAGCCCTTCCTCTCAGCACATCCCCCTTGGCATGGGAACCCAGCCATCCACCCAGCCCTTCGGCACAGCCAGGGCCGGCTCCAGGCACCAGCCTGGCAAGCAGGTGCTTGGGGTGGCCGCTCCGGAGAGGGGCGGCACATCCAGCTATTCGGCGGCAATTCGGCGGACGGACCCTCACTCCCACTCGGAGCGAAGGACCGTCCACCGAATTGCTGCCGCAGATCGCAATCACGATCGCAGCTTTTTTTTTTGGCTGCTTGGGGCGGCCAAAACCCTGGAGCCGGCCCTGGGCACAGCATGCGATCTCCTGGAGCCTGACCAAAGGCCAGCCACTGCCCCAGCCTCAGGATCCAGACACCACTCGGGGTGCAGCCCTTCCGCCCGGCACCTCCCTCTGGGCGTGGGAACCCAGCCATATGCCCAGCCCCTGGGCACACCATGCTCCCCTCCCCAAACTGCCCCTCCAGCATGAAGCTGCTGTT